CTGACTTCATCCCTTCTTCTCCCCAGATCCGTGAGCATCCTTAACACTCTTTGTTTGAACTCTCTGTCAGGTAGGTTGCTCATTTCTGTTTCACTTAGTTCCTCTTCTGGGGTTTTGTCCTGTTCCCTCACTTGGAATGTATTCCTTTGCCTCCACATTTTGCCTCTTTCCCTGCGCTTGTGTCTATGTATTAGGTAGGTCAGCTACATCTCCTGCAAACGTATTTCTTTCTGTGAGGAATAGTCAAAATGTTTGAAAATATGATATAAAACAATGATTCTCCTTTTTTTTGTTTTTCAGTGGGGAGTGGGTCAAACATCTCTGAAAATCTGATTGAAGTTCAAGTTTCCCTTACCAGAAAACACAAGTTCACATTCATTCACACTACAAATGATGGTATATACTGAATTTCAAGGAGTTCATAAAATCTCCTGCGGCCAGTCCAAGGCCTCCAAGTTAAGAACACTTGGGGTAAAATTTCAGGTACTGCCAGCATTGAGTTTCCTGAATGTTTATTTAAAATATGCAACTTTGTGTATATGAAAAGTCCCTAGAAGGCAAGAACCATCTTTGTGTACATTCAAAGTCCCATGGAGGCAAAAACCATCTTTTTATCAGTACCTTTCACAAGTAGCAAGATCTCAGCATGCTTACTGAACTGAAACACATCCTTAGCCTCCTGCTTCAGAACCATCTGTGTCTCCTTAATGGCCAAAGAATAGTTTCAGTCCTTCTTCTGGTGTTTTTTCAATATTTATGAAGCCCCTATAGCCTGCTGGGCACTATGGACAGAAAGGAGACTTCCTTTATAGTCTGACTTCCTCATATTCCCATTTCATCTCCTATCACTCCGAAGAGGGACCTCTCTTCAGGTAAAAATGAGGTGTTATTTATTCCCCAATATACCATTCAAAGCTCCTCCTCCCGAATTTAAATTCCACCTGGCCTTTAAGACTAAGCTCAAAATTTTTTTTTTCTTAAATCCAATCTTTCTAAGATTAACTAGCATTCACGAACAGACTTCTATTAACCTCTAATATTGTATGCAAAATTTTATGTAAAGGTGCATTTTTCTAGAGAGATGGTCCATGGCTTCCATAAAAGATTTTAAGAGGTTGCAGAGGGTCCTACGACTCAAAAAAGATAAAGAATTATATTTATACTATTAATTACTTGTTACATGCTGTTGGTCTTTTCTATTCCCCAAGGGTAGGAATTAAACTCTTTGTGTGGCAGATACAGAGACAAAGATATTTTGGCAATGTTTGCTGCCTTTGATTTGTGTCTCCCTCAAAACCCTTCCTGAAAGAAGACTGAAACGTCCCTACAAAGAATGATGAAATTACTTACATTTCATACCATCCACTTTTTTATCAGGATAAACAGAAATATCTTTTAGATCTACCAATGGGACATATGAGCAAAATCTAAAAACAATCAGTGTACCAGCCCACCAATTACACACCAGACTGTTCAAAAACCTCAAAGTCGAAAGCCTATTTACAACTTCCAGACGCACAAAAATCCTACAGCCTTCATTTCAAGTCTTTTTGCTTTTCCCTTCCAGCTATTTTTTTCTTAAACAGGCTGACCTACTCAGTGAAGGTTATGAGACAACTCGCCAACATTTGTAATTCATAAAACGGTATCTGCAGCAATTGGAGGCAGGGTTTCTTAACAAAAGAGCTACTGGAAGCTTGGACATGCCCAGCGCAGTGAGGACCCTGGGTCGTTCCATTTGTTTTCTCAAAAGATCCAGGTCCAAAGGCAGCGGCTACCTCGCCCCATCGGCGGTGAGAGTTGAGGGCGTTATCCCGTCGGTCCCGTGTCAGCACGAGAATTAGGAAGAGGGCCTCGGGGACGGGGATTCGGGCCTCGGCTCGCCGCTCCTCCACGCGAGGACCGGCCTCCCCGCGTCCCGCCAGCGCCTGAGCCCCAGGGCCCGGCCGGGCGCGCGGCTCCCGCGGCGGGGGAAGC